GCCAAGTGCATAAAATATATCCTGACAGTAAAAATATCGATTCAATTTTAAACTTAAATCGCTTCTGAACTAAGATATTTTCTGTTACACCACCAACGTTTTTAATAAAAACAAACATCTTTAACCAACACAGACTCTAAATTAAAAAATCAACAAATATTTGTCCAGTTTTGTTATCTATACATTTTATTTTAAACTTTCAATACGTAGACTAACAACAATATTAGGTTCTACTTTTGTAACTAAGCAACATGACATAAAAGCCATTGTTAGAATGCAGTGCCACTAAAACGCGCTGGCTTTTCTATATATTTGTTAATCTAACTGATTTTTAGCAATAATTATTCTATGAATACGCCACGAATTCATTTCATGAATGATCTTAATTTGGATTGGCTAACACAGGAATTTACTGACGTTTGATTGCCCTGACTGCACTTTTCTGCATCTTTGTTGATCAATCTTGAAATTTATTTATTTCAGTTGGCTATGAAATTTTAGGTTAGGATATACTATGGGGTGGGGGTGGTAGTACTTGTCCCATCATTTTTCACGGGCTATACACTAGTATCCTGTGTTGTGGTTTTCTTAGAGCAAAGCGGAATCGAACCTCATTTTTTTGCGTCGTAAGAATTACAGCTGACACACCGGATGTATGCAAATTTATGCATTGAGTGAATCAAAACGCTCCTAATAACAATAACGTTTATGCAATGTTTCTAGGTGCAGAGCTCCCTATAACATACATTACAAATTGTTTTAACCTTTGACCACTGTAAAATATAAATCCTAAATATATATACTTTAGTTTATGGAAGTTGTCGCAGGATATATTTGTGCCAAGTGTCATTTGGATTGACCAACATACGTGATTTTCGTAATGTTTACCCTCTGACTACCTAGAATCGGAACGGGGTCCTAAATAAATAAATACAAAAAGGTGAAGGTGTGCTGAATTAATGTTAAACTTCATCAACACTTGTTGTTCATATAATTTTATAATATAAATTGCGTTTCAAGCACTACTGTGTCTCTTATATCCCAGCCGGCCTGATGAGTCCTGGTATTGTGCGAAAGGCCTCGTCGGCAAGGAAATATAGTGTAGTTGACATACTGTTATACATTTTTATTTACTTTCATTCTTCAGTTTCTATAATTTCAAGATCACTGGCATAAATAAAGAAGTAGCGTACAGTTGTAACTTTTGGGCAGTAGAAACATAGGAAATACATAATGTCTCCCTCTATGAGGGGGGGGGGGCATAATATCATATCGATCGTAACTAATTCCCGATTTGCCACTAAAAAAAATGCTATTTTCGCAATCGAAGCTACAGCGATATTCTTAGGAAAATAACAATTACCAGAAATTAGAATTTTCTACAACAACCATAACGCTGGAAATCGAATTTTCATACCCGTGGTGGGCACAGTACAGATAGCTCATTTTGTAGCCTTGTTCTTAACTACAAACTAACTAACTAATGTAAGATACTAAACAATTCATTTTAATGTAAGGTTTAACACGTCTTTAGTGTTACTCACCACACTTGCCGGAATCGTCTGTCGCTGCAATCCGCTGGCCAAAGAAAACAAAGTTATCACATATTAGTTTTTTCTTGAAACTAAAGCTGGTTCATTAAACATAAAATAATATTCGAAATTGAAATTACTGTTCGTCACACGAAATTAGCGAAACCTTCATTAATACGATAATTTATTTGTTTGTTATGCTATTACATTATAGCTAAAATTTCTTTAAAAATCGTTTTAAAGGTTATTGTTGTTTTTTCTAACATTCAGAGAACGTACAGTGAAAAATAATTCAGTTAATCTTCTGTTTTTATAGATGTCGCTGTTTTTATATATTTTTTTAAAGTTTATAAAAAACTCAAAATATGTTTTAGAGAAAAATTTAAACATTTAATGAAACTATAGAGTAAAAAATTCAACATAGGTCATATAAAAATGTTTTGATTGTTTCTGTACATTAAAGTTGCACGTGAGTTTGTTAAGAAGTACTTGTATCTTTAATTACTATCAATGAAGGGGAAATATTACAAACAATAGTGTATTAATCACTTATTAGTCGCTTTTAATCAATTGTAAGGCAACTATAACTCAGGATAAAAACAACAGCTATAAGTTAGTGAAATCTGCTCTATAAAAAATAAAAGCGACATTTTTGGGCGTTATTCTAATAATAAATCACTAGCGACACTTTTGGTCGTAATTCTAATAACATATCACAAGATTTGGCCATCTTAGGAGACATAGATTAGTCTTAGATTTATATACCAAGATAACCACGAAACGTTTTAAGTATGATGGCTGATATATTAATGAAATTATACAGTAGACTACGTATATTCAATTAGCCTAGTAAAATACTATAAATAATATGTATTAACGGAAGTGACGTGATATCATTTGCAAGTATGAACTTATTCTAAGTTGATCTACTAATTACAGCATATGTAAGATTATGTAAAACAAATATTTCATTCGAGAGACCATATAATTAGTTTATTTCAACTATAGTTTGGAATAATTTCAATGAAAAACAAATTTCCTTTACGGTAAACGTTTCACATGTTCATTGTTATATGTACAAAAGAGTGGCATGCAGGGTTCTTTCTCATATTGACACGAACATGTAACGTGGATATTAAATAATAAGTAGGCAAACAACGATTTATAAGCATAATAAAGAATGTTATTGTTGGTGGAACATACTACAATAATAGGTAGTAAAACAACGATTTATAAAGATGTTATTGATGGTAGAGCATACTACAATAATAGATAGTAAAACAACGATTTATAAAAATGTTATTGATGGTAGAACATACTACAATAATAGGTAGTAAAACAACGATTTATAAAAGTTTTATTGTTGGTGGAACATACTACAATAATAGGTAGTAAAACAACGATTTATAAAAATGTTATTGATGGTAGAACATACTACAATAATAGGTAGTAAAACAACGATTTATAAAGATGTTATTGATGGTAGAACATACTACAATAATAGGTAGTAAAACAACGATTTATAAGCATAATAAAGAATGTTATTGTTGGTGGAACATACTACAATAATAGATAGTAAAACAACGATTTATAAAAATGTTATTGTTGGTGGAACATACTACAATAATAGATAGTAAAACAACGATTTATAAAAATGTTATTGATGGTAGAACATACTACAACAATAGGTAGTAAAACAACGATTTATAAAAATGTTATTGATGGTGGAACATACTACAATAATAGGTAGTAAAACAACGATTTATAAAGATGTTATTGATGGTAGAACATACTACAATAATAGATAGTAAAACAACGATTTATAAAAATGTTATTGATGGTAGAACATACTACAATAATAGGTAGTAAAACAACGATTTATAAAAATGTTATTGATGGTGGAACATACTACAATAATAGGTAGTAAAACAACGATTTATAAAAGTTTTATTGTTGGTGGAACATACTACAATAATAGGTAGTGTAGTAAAACAACGATTTATAAGCATAATAAAGAATGTTATTGTTGGTGGAACATACTACAATAATAGGTAGTAAAACAACGATTTATAAAGATGT